ACGACAAGAGAAATTTTTAGATGAAAAGCCATTGTATGAGTCTTCACGTGTGGCAACTGGAAGGAATCAAAGGCTTCATAAACCGTTTATTGCTTTCTAGCCGATCCAATTTTACGAACAATAAAAATGCAGTTGTGGACGAAAACAGGAACGTCGTTCCGTGAAAGCCCGTAATAACTTCGAAACCGTTCGTCAGTCTGCTTGCTGCAAGCAATAAAGACCAGGATTACTCGGAGAAATTAATTATCCCCGTTTATTCACCTCTCGCGTTATCCGCCGATAAGGATTTCTCATGGATCTCAGGTAATTTTCCCTTCACGCATCGACGGCCGAGCGCGGTTTGTGAAAACAGGAAGTTATTTTCGCGTGGATCTAAAACCCATCCTCAAGATTTTTTCCACTTAGGCTTTATTTCTTTTGTTTGAAGGCTCGTTATTCGAAAATAACTCATTCCTGAAACACAGGCGGCCTTTGGTCGAAGTAGGCCACCGCCATTCAAATCGAACCTTATGACTTTACAAACGTATTGCAAATAACAATCCGTTGAGAATTGAAAAAGACATGTCTCTTAACTCGTGCAATAAAGAGGGAAACGGGGGCCGAATGTTTGAAAGGCATAAGAATTCAGTTGAAGATCTGTGCCTTTCCCTGTTTATGACCCTGACCAACCATAAGAAACAACATGAAAAAAAACGTCATCTTCAGTATTTGGTTAGGTTAATATCAAGGTTGAGAACCTTCCGTTTATGCGAATTTCAAACCAGTAAATTTTTCCCTAACCTGCTTATATCCTTGACCGACCATAGAAAATGGCGAGAACCCTATACTAATCTGATAGATACAGGGAAGCTAGGAAGATCAAAATGATCGGAAACGACAAACTTCCTGATACATACACCAGATACATAATACGCCGCCATGTTAAGTTCTTAAAAAATGCTAGTTATCCTCGATCTTTGAAAAAAGGAATTTGGGAACAAAATGAAATCGAAATGTACATATTTCAAAATATTGGTTTAAACGGAGACAACAGCCAAGTTACTTTAAAGGGACACAAGGTAGTAAACCAGTTGTTTCTTTCCAAAAAAATATAAAAACTACACTACATATATATTCTCATGGATTAATAACCACCACGTAATTACTTTTCCTTAATTAAGAACCAATACAATTTCCATCCGATCTTCAATTATTTTCGAATAGAATTATTTACAGGGGAAGATTGTTTTTCTCAATGCAGCCAAAGTTTTAATCTCTAAAATTAAAAACCCTTCGAATTCACGGCCAAGTTTTCAATAACCCCTTGCTGTGTCCCTGTTAGTTTCGTTACTAATCGTAATTGCAGGTTCTCGTAGTCGTTTCCCAGGCTCCGAAAATTCTGAAAATTGCTCTTACACCCTTTTCTATCCTCTTTATCTCAATCTCTTCCTACAGTTAGAACCTATAATCTTATGTAGGCGTTCGTTAGAACGCATATACTTGTGCACGCGAGCACAAAAATTGGTGATGTATATGTTATACAGATACGTATATATAGAAAGATGTTACTCACTGATTTTACTCTATAGCCCCCACACGGTTTCTCACTCACTATTTATCTCACTCTCTCTCTTTCTCTGCATTACTGTTATCATGGACACTAATTAATAAGTACATTAAAAATAATTTCACCTTTGCATAGTTTTACTTTGAATGGTATCAGGTTTGGAATTCCAATTATCGACCATATTTGATTCTCAATTGGCACGCTTTCCCAAATTAGAAGAATCCTTTGAAAAGGAGACCCTGGAAGTGCTTCTGATGTCCGGGAGAACCCATTGCTTGTTTCTGACCCGTGCGGTACTTCTCGTTCTTCTAGATTATAATTTGTTTCAACGTGTTGCACGCCTCGTAGTTCACAGTGCAAATAAAACCAAGAACGAAGCCAAACGACGTCTCCACCCGTGCACTGGATTGGTTTCCAATCGTTAGGATTACCCTCAGGGGTCGGTCAACCGTGCAATTCAAGGACGATGTACGTTTGGAAAAGCTATCAACAGAAATTTAGACCAATATCTTTAAGTAGTGTTTCAAAATATCTTAGTTTGTCATCTAATCCTTCTTAAAGTGTAATAAAATATGCGGATATGATTTATTGGTTATATGTTTTGTTTTAGAGGCTTGGCAGATCTTTTCGGGTTTATTTTAAGCTTTTGTTATGAGTAGAGATTAGTGACCGTTAATCGATAGTTATTCAGATCTCACGATATCTGAATAACTTTTGTAATGAATTGTGTTCACTTTGAAAGCGTCTCGAGATTTCATGTTTGTATAGTAGGCAATTGCTAATATTTTTTACTAATATGAAAATTTCGTTGTTAAAGCCAATTTATTTTTCTAACTGATGTGTTGTATCACAGTAGAAAAAAGGACAAACTTATAATCCTTTTTTAAAAAATTATTTATATAACATTCTTTCTTTTTACCTGCATATCAGTGAATATGGACCATACCAGAATTATTACTAAAAATTTATTATTTTTATATTTATTATTATTTTAATGTATTATTATTTATTATTTTTGCGTTTTTTTCTCACGACATTGAAAATAGCCGTTTATTCATGGCATGTGAAGATCCTCATACACTCTGATGGACAAGGTTCTGCCAGTTTCACTATACCGAAATTGTGATACCTATTGTGATGATATTAATGTAGGAATATTGTTTCCTAAATTCAGAAAAATACCATAACTGTTGGATATAAATTTGCCATTTTTGGGTCTTGAGCCGGCATTCTACTTACCAACAAACTTGGCATTGCGAGATTTGATTTAGGTTGCTCAGCGAGTCGTTGAACTTTTGAAATGTCAGAATTGATAATTTCTTTTTTTCTCGATTCCAATCCAGATTCTGATATGTTCCGCCACAACATTTCACATGTTTTATGTTACAAAAGGTTCATTCTTGTGCATTTTTGGAATTTGTATTAGTATTATTGCAATACTATTTCAGCTAATAATTATTGCGCAGAACGGTGTGAATACGGCGCTGTCACATGAGAACGTGTGTGCATTATGTTGGCTATATATATTTTTTCTTTTCTACGCCAGATTGCTGAGTGTTCTCATCGCCCCTGGGTCTTTTTCTCATAATGCTTTCATGTACAATGTATATAGGGCACCTTTTCGAGTGTGCAATTATGCTAGTTTTAGTCCCAAGGATATTGTACGGTGGATATCTCTCTCTCTCTCTCTCTCTCTCTCTCTCTATCTCACACACACACACACACACACACACACTCACTCTCTCTCTTTCTCTCTTTTTGTTTAGGTATCCCACTCATCTATAGTTAGAGGTCAGTGCTCCCTCTATATATCCCCTTCTCTGGAACATTTGGTGGGAGGTCGTGACGTCATGGGAAACTGCAGTTCTAGCTTTCCTGGCTCACAGTGCAATTCGTCGGCTTCTCAGTCGTACGACTTGAACTGTATCTTGATCCTCTTTCGATTCGAACCAGGCACCAAGTGGTTGTATAATGTCGACATCTGCTAATTTGGAAAACAATATCTATTTTGGATTACATTTACATTTTCGACCAAATTGGACCACGTTTATAAACTTACCAATAACACCATCCCAGTTGTATGAATGTACAAAGTTTTGTCGATTAAAACAAAGAACGTGAAAAACCTTTATTTTATATTTATTTTCTTCAGTTTTAAGCTGCATATTCTCCGTTTAAAAAAAGTTACAAGTTTGTCAAATTTACCTGGTCCCACTCATTGTATAATGTTAGAATTCGCGATTTTAAAAGTTTTATTGTCAAAAATGTGACAAACATTCTTGCCATATGTATCTGTTGTAGTATAGGTAGTAGTTCAACCATTGTAATAATAAAGTTTGTACGATTAAACGTCTAAAGTTCACGTTCAATGTAGGAAGTCAATCTGAAGTGATTTAAAAAAAATTAAGTTCAAGTTAAAACCTTAACTGCTCCATGTTGCATTTGGTCATAATTTTTCGTCCAATTAATCTCTAATCCATGTAATTTTAACATCTAACGAGGTTTAGTTCATCGCCGTACTTACGTACCCCTTGCAATCTTTAGTGGGTAAATAATTTGCTAAATTTAATTGCCAATTACGCCTTAATGAGTTTTGTGTTGAAAATTTAACTTTAAGTATGATAACGTTTGTTACGTTCGATTTATAGTTCGTCAAATTTTGTCGATTTTTCTTCAATCGTATTAAAATTAATACTTCACCTAATATAAATAACTCTTACTCTCTTATTGTATTTTCTCCAAGTTTTAAGTGGAATCTCATTCATTAAATTAGTGTTAAGAGTCTATCAAAAATAGGTAGTGCATACTACAAGGCTGTAATTATGAAGTGTGAATTTGAGTTTTTAAAAAAATGTATTTGTGTTTAAATATTGACAAATTTAAGTTTCACATACATGTTACTCACTTAGTGTTAAAGTTTTGACAAATTTAACTACCATACACACCTCGTTTGATCAAATTTAAGTTCCATTTGTTCGCTAATGGGAACCCCAATTTAAATACCTTTTCCTTCCAAAATAAATTAGTGCTAAAGTTGTGCTTAATTTTATACTAGTCACATCGGTTTTCCCATCCATATTTTATTCACTTACTTCGTTTCTTAGATAGAATTTTGATTTTTTTATTAATGAGCTATTTTCCTCCAAATTTAAGCATAATTTACTTAGTTACGGAGTTACACAGCTTAGGATAAATGTTTGTCGAATTTAAATGCCATTCTATCTGTTAAATATAAATTTTAAGTTATGTGTGTGGACTGTTGGTTTACCTAACTTTTTTTAGAGCGGTAGTTCATGCACATTTCTACCATGTATTTGTCCAGTTTAAATCGCATACTGTCGTTTCCTGATATTTTGATCGTTTTATGATTTTATAAGCGAAAGTAATCTAGTCCGTTATAGTAGTTCCTTCATTTTTGCATTATTCATTAAATTTATCGTGTCGTATGTTCCAGGGGTTCTGAGGATTTGAGCGGAAGTTTCGAAAGATCTAGTCATTTTTACGAGCGAAGCGAAAGGAGCGAGGGAAGCGGAGGAAGCAGCTATCTGAGGAGAAGCGGAACCGCTTCAGCCACTACTGGGGGATACCACACGACAGAATCCATATCCAGGAGTAGAGCGAGGGATAGGATCTACAGGAACGGACCTTATACCCCTCTTATAGAAAGGTGAATAACATTTCTGTTCGTCCCGGTTTTCTCAACAAAGGTTTATTCCAAGATGTTTGGACTATTTTTAAAACACAGTACTTAAATGCCAGGAAAGGCGTGATCTGTCCAATTACCTGTCCAAATTTTTGAAACGGGACGTTTGTATGTTTTCGACTATCATATGAGACGTAGGTTTTTTCGAGTAGTTATTCACGATTTTATCTTTATTGACCGAAATAAAATAAGACCTTTAGAACGCACGTTTTAATCTTTTCTCTCTATAGTTATTTAAGTGATTTTCCCATAATTCATCATTACGTAAAAAACTGTTGCAAGTTGATTAATTTTTTTATCTTTTCCTGCTTACAGGTTTGAGTGAAAAAGAAAATTCACTATTTTAAACCGTAACTTCCGTTTTAGCAGCCTTTCCCTTACTGCAATAAATAACAATTCGTAGCTTTTAATTTTATGATTTTAACTAGTTCTCTTTATGATCCATTTTTTATCATTGAGTAGGTAAAATATTGACAGTTATTTTGATTTCTTTCATTCCTTTCATTCTTACCCAATATCAAACACTCAAGACGGCATGCCGCAGTACTTTGAAAGCATGGTTGGGGCAAAAACAGCGAGGTTTATTGATCGAATGCCCCCTTTTTTCTTGGACAATATCAATCTCTTGGGATGAAGTAAAGAGGGAGTTTTATTAGTTATTTTTTCTTCTACGTCCATGCCTTCACCACAAACCAGGAACCGGCGTTTTAGCAGTCCGACGGTCCCCCCTCGAACCGCAGCTGGGGTTCATACGGGCTGAATGGACGAAATTATTAATTTCACACTATGGGCCTCCACACCATACGGGGGGGAAATGGGACTATAATGAAATTACCCGTGAAAATATCTTCTTAGGCTGAACTTTTAACAATGCCCAACCACCGAACAACCATAGAAAACAGTCACATCGAAACCAGACTGCAGGTGGATCCGTTTCAGCCATTTTTCTGCGTGTACAATACACTACTACATACGAATATGTAGAATTTTATTATATCTAGCAATTTCATGACTTGATTTGTAAACAGATATTTACTCAAAAGTTATTTTAAAAAATGCATATTTCAACAGTACAACACTTTGTGGTGTCAAAAGTTAAAAATTTCCTTCCGATTCAGCAAGTATTGGGTTGTCCGGAAAATAATGCAGGATTTTGGTATTAAACAAAAAAAAAGAAACTAGTTACTTTAAAGCAATGTTCTTTAATCAAAATAATTTCCCATACNTTAAAATCCTGCATTATTTTCCGGACAACCCAATATAAATGGATTTTCATATTTTCGTCCTTGGTTAGAATAGGTTTTTCTGCCTTTTGGTCGAATAGTGATGTTCAGTCAATTGTTGCCAAATAATGTTGTGCATGCATGACGTTTCGATAAACAAGTACAGCGCGACATGGCCTTCCAGTTACATAATTTTCTTAGTAATTATGTTATTTTATTAATAAAAGAGATTATTGTATTGTGTGACTTAATCGAACTTTATTTCCTTGTTCTTTTAAGGTCTAAATTCTTGTAAATCACTTGTAAATGAAAATTGCCTCAACGGAATACCAAATTTGAGCAATAAAGTTGTTTTAATGTAAAGAAACCGGAATCAAAGTTTTTCCAAAACTGGTTTTCTATTAAATCGACCTTCAAGGAGGAAAATTTCCGTTTATTATAGGCAAAGGGAGTCCCACCCAGGTAAGGAAGGTCTAATACCTGGCTGCCAACCCCGAGGCGACGTTGCCCTCCTAAACTTCCTCGGGTGAAAATTCTACCTGATTTTTTTTCTTCCATCCTCGGTCACAGTGTGCACTTGTTCACTTCGGAATGGCCTGCCGACCGGGGATGTGCTGTGAAATGTAAAGAAGTGGAAAGAGAAGTGAGCGTGTTGGGTGTTGTGCAAATGAATTCTTGGGCGACGCCTCAATGAATTCAGTCCGAAGATTTGCAATCGAAAAGTAAGCAATTTTTGTCAGTTTTTCGTACGAAAAGGTCAAAATCTAGTTGTACGCACGTTTATATCGGTGTCATTATCAAGTCGGTCCCTTGTACGCTTGTTTTCTCATTTTTATAAACCTGGAGACGGTTTTTCCCATCTTTTTGCTCTACTGCTGACTTTATTTTTCTCAAAATAAAATTATGCAGATCTTCCTGATTCCTTGCAGATCTTTCTCAAATTGTGCTTTTCTTGTTTTTAACTAAACTTCACCTAGTATTGATTGTCTTTTTTTAAAATAGTTTCTGATTGGAATTAACATTTTGTCTCATTTTTATGTCGAATCCCAGCCGTTAAATTCGTTTTAAGTCTCCAAAAGTACGTAACTAGCACATACTGCATTGTGAGAATACTCCATGTGGTCTGAGGGGGTGTTGAACCTGCAATTTGGTATTTGCCGATTATGTTTCGGTACTGAAGAAGACAAAATGCTAACTTACCTGGCGGACCAAAATGATCGGTGACTATTACGCTTTGTCCAAAGATTTTTTTACTTTGTTAATGAGTTAGTGTTAAAGTTAAGCCAAATTTAAGTGATACTGACTTTTATTAACACATTTTATTACCATTTTAAGTGCCTTGCCATATTAATTCCACTATCTTTGGTTTTCTCACTCAAATTAAAGTTTCAATTCATTAAAGGACACGTGTTTAACTTTTACCAAATCTAAGTAAATACGGACTCCGTTAATTACTTAGTGATAAACGTGTGTGGTGATTAGTGACCGTTAATCGATAATTATTCAGAAATCGAGAGATGCGCTCTGGTGTGATGTAGGTTTCAGAAAAACATTTTCTTTGTCGTGCCAACGTATCTTCAGGATCATCACCACACATTTCTACACGAGAAGAACGAAGAACACGGGATTCTATGAACAAATTTCAACTGTATATGGACACGAAGCTAAAAGTATTCTGAAGGACATCGCCAACAATGAGAAGAAACTCCCATCGGCTATCAACCAGAGAACTTTTTTGCTGAAATACAGACAACACAAGGTCCTGAAGATGATCTCAATAAAGATCGAAAAGTTGGCACGATAAAGAAAATGTTTTTCTGAAACCTACATCACACCAGACCGCATCTCACGATTTCTGAATAATTAGTGATAAACGTTTGCCCAATAAGGATAATTTATTTCGTTCTTGGGCTGTGTTGAATTTTACCCAAATTTAACCCCCACTGATTTCGTCAATCAGATAATATTGAAATTTTCCTATATTTAAGTACCATTGACCTCGTTACAGTTATGCCAAAGTTAAGAACCACTTACCTCTGTTTCTCAACCCAATTTCACTTACTTCGTTCATAAGTTAGTGTTAAAATGTAAGCAAATTTAAGTGTCACTGACTTAATCACTGATGTAACAAATTTAAGTACCATGCCAAATTAAGTTACATTTAATTCCAAGTATCACTGACATGGATTTAGTGTTAAATTGTCGCCCTTTTTAAGTACAATTCACTCTGATAATGCGATGTGTTGAATTTTTTTAAAACCCAAATGTAAGTTCCATTTACTTCGTTAATGAGTTAGTTTTACAATCTTGACAAATTTAAGTACACCCACCGTATAGACGGTTACTTACATGACTTCTTCAATGATTTAGTGTTGAAGTTTCGTTCACTTTAAGTACAATTCAGTTCAATTTAAACAATGTTTATAAGTGCCAAGCCCTGAAGATGATCTCAATAAAGATCGAAACGTTGGAACGATAAAGAAAATGTTTTTCTATACGTACGCCACACCAGACCGCATCTCACGATCTTCAAATTATTTTAAGTAGAACTGACTTCGAAAGTTCAGCTCATTTCGTCACTGGTTTGTTTTGAGTATTTTTCCAAATTTAAGTTTCACTTATTTCGTTAATGAGTTCGTTTTACAATCTTGACATATTTAAGTGCTTCCCATTTATTTTGTTCAAGGGTTAATGTAAATTTTTTGCCCTATGTACATCTTATTTCGTTCATGGGTTCGTGTTTAGGTTTTCCAAATTTACGTTTTACTTGTCTCAATTAAATTATTAATGTTTTAATGTTATAATCTTAACAACTTTAATTACCAGTATGATGATCAATATTTAACAAATTGAAGTACCACTCATTTCTTGAATGAGTTTTGGAAGAAATGATGTCAAATTTAAGTATGATTGAATATCGTTGTCAAATTATGTTTAAACTTAAAGTTCACCAAACATAAATAATATTTATTCCAATAGATTAATTAAGCAATTACTTTGTTGAATATATGTTTAAACATAGTAAAATAGTCAGCATTTATCCGTCAGCCTTTATCCAGTGGCATTTAGGTATTAAAAATACGATAAATTTAAGTAATGCAATTCCATGTTCATTCATTTAATTAGTGATATAGGTTTACCAAATTGATGTAGAACGTAGACGGTTTTTATAACCTTGTTTTGGACTGAAATACCCCATGACTATTCTCTTTTTCAAAAATAAAATTTTCAATTGATTCCAAACTAGGTCATTCTAATTACATACCCCTTGTACACACATCGGTCTAAAGTCCGTATAAAGCTTCTCCTTCATTCTGAACAATCAACGTTCGAATGGATTTCTCTGAATTTGACAGGTTTCTTCAATTAGGAAGAAAGAAGACCTTTTCTCATCTTCCTTTTCCTTGTTATTTTGTCGATTCAACCCAACTATTTAAAACGAGGTTTTGATTATTGCACATAATTCCATTTCCTCGACATATTCTTCCGACTTTGTCGTTTGCCAACAACTTGCTTAAAATGTCAAAAGTCTGCCCTTTTTTAAATATCTATGTCTAATTGATTATTAGTGAAATATAATTCCACAAGACTGATTTCCTCACCCTTTTTATAGTTGTCCTACTTTTTGTAATAATTTATATTAATTATTGTGAATCACAGGGGTATCTTGAATCTGATTAATTACCTATTTAATTCCTTAACTTAATGTATGAAAGTGTGATTTCGTGCAAAAGGAATTGT